AGAGAGAGAGAGAGAGAGAGAGAGAGAGAGAGAGAGAGAGAGAGAGAGAGAGAGAGAGAGAGAACACGAGCCAAGAAACATTTCTGCAATACCAGTAGGCCTCTCACCTCGTCTTGAGGGCAGTATCCGAGAGCCGATGCGGGGTTCAGTGCGAAGCTGTACCGCACACTATGACCGTTAACAATTGCATCACCATACGACAACTGCATCATCCCTGTCAAGCACTGCATGACCGTAGATTTCCCTGCCTTATCTCCTCCCAGCAAAACAACAATCTGCAAACAAAACATCGATGCCAAGAACAAACCACTGTCACATCCCTGAGTAGATCGATCCATCACCATTCAATTTCCATCTCAGGGTCCTCAACCACCTCCTCCTCCTCCTCCTCCTCCTCCTCCTCCTCCACCTCTTGCTGGTTCTCTTCTTCTCTCTGTGCTTCCCCATCCCTTTCCCCCGATCTTCAGTAGCCTGTAGAGAAACATCAAAATATGAAGCACTTTGCGACTTGCCGACCTCCCCCCAACTTCCAGGGGCGTGGAAATAATAGGAATATGCCCCTATGAAGCGGTTCACGATTTGCCTACCACTCCCCAACTTCCAGAGGTGTGGGAATAATAGGAATGTGCCCCATTCTCACCTTTCTCCACCTCTTTCTCCCGACCTTCAGAAGTCCATTGGGAAGGTCAAGATATCTGTAGCGATTGATTGTTTGCACAATTTTGCAGTCCTTTTTCACAATCTCAAGGAGCGTGGGGACGCACCTATTTCTGTGAAATCATCAGAGCAGACCACATGCCAGCTCTCAACAACGTAGGAGGCCATAGTCACACTCATACTTTTTTCACTCAGAGTCTGTCGGACATATTCAGGTATTTTCGGTTGATCTCTGAGCACAATCGCAGTCAGACGCATTCCGGTTTTCGGTTGATCTGTGAGCGTAATCGCAGTAGACGCATTCAGGTTCGGCCATTATAGTTCACGCAACATCCACAATGGTCCTAGTGCGAGTACGCTGTGACACACACATAGAAACAGCCCTGGCATGCAAAGCCAAGGTAATCGGCTTAGGGCCTCGCTCCACTACTCTCGACATGCACAAAAGACAAAAATCATGGCGGTGTTATCTTTTTCCATGTTCTAGCCGAAGATTCAATCCCGTTTATCACACGTCCAGAGTAAAGGTGCAACACCCTTGAAAGAAAAAAGAAAGAGAACCACACATAAACCAACAGTTTTTGTAAACAAAAAATAAAAGTCGAGAGGAAAGGAGACAGAGCTGCCTTTGATATAAAAACAAGAGCGACGACTCTTTACTACCGTCTTCCCCGGAATACAACGCGCCCTCGTTATGACTGCATCCAACCGAAAAGATGGCTTGTCTACATTCACATGAAGATGGTAGAAAGGAGCCCAAGAAAATGACACCTTACCTCCCCTCTGGAAACTCCGAGCCATAGTCTTCTTATCCCTGCTGTACCTGATGGGCTTAGTTCGGAACTGGACCCAAGGCAGCTAGAGTTCGGATTATCGACCTGTTTGATTCGAAACCACCACACACACACACACACAGATTCCAGTTGCAAATGCCCCAACAACAAAGAGCAAAGAGGCGAAGAGTTATTTTCAGGACTTGAAGCATCACAACTTGACAATGTGACTTCGGCTGCCGTCATTTCCCCTACTGGCCAGATGTAAAATTCTGCACATCCCAGTTGTAAAAAAATAAAAAAAATAAAAAAAATTCCCCTGGCAACAATGACAAAGGGCCTTCCTTGCTCCACTACTGGCCAGATGCAAAACAACAAGTCCAGCATATCTTTTTTTATCTTTTTTCCACTACTTCCAGTTCCATCTTCCGAGATCTGCTGGAGAGGCACCCTCACCACTTCTCACAACTGGCGACTACCATCTTCACCCGAATAGAACGCCCAGTCATTATCGCTGTACCTAGACTGAAAGTTGCCCCAAGCACAGGTTTAATGACCGCGTATCAATCAGTGTTGGACCCGCTGGGTATTGTATTCAGGCGACGATGGCGGCAGCGCGAGACAAATGCCATCCAGCAAAACATCTGTGAAACAGAAGTCATGGCCTTTACTTTACCCAAGATCGAGTTTCATCACCAGGTGAGTAGAAGTCACGGTGTTTCCTTCGCCCAAGCAAGATTGGGCTTCTTCACCAGCTGTCTTTTACCCGTAGCTTCAAGTCGAATTCGTGTCCGGCATGTGTGACCAAAAATTTCGGTAATAATTACTAATATATTACTAATAATAATTCGATATCACAATTTGAAGGATCGGGAAAAAAAAAAAAAAAAACACCTGGAGGAGCAATGTCATCCAGGGAAACATCTGCCAGATGGCGATGAGAGAGACATCTTGCTCACTCATGAGTCATGGCACCGGGGGTGGTAAATACTAAATACCCATTATTACTACCAACTTCCAAGTGGTTGTGCCTGGGCGGATCAAATACCGACATGTATGCAAAATCAACAAAGCAGTAGGAAACATGCACATGCACGAATACAAGAAATGCACCTCTCTCAAAACCGGAGCAAGCAAAAAAACAGAGCCTCCGAGGGCATGCATACTCACACTAGACTTTTTTGGCAACACTCTGGAAGTGATTGCAGTCAGATTCATCCACGTCCGGTCAGCATTGTAGCCAGGTGCATTTTGGAAAGTGCTAACCTCTTCACCCGAATAGAACGCCTGGGTAATTATTGCTGAATCTGGACCGAAAGTTGCACGAAACACAGCTATAATGACCGGGCGTTCTATTCGGGTGGAGACGGTAGTATAGAGTACGCCCTGAAGAAAGGATAAAAAGAGCTCACCTTCCACAAGTTGTAGCACAGGATAAGATCTCTGTCCTCCGTCTCACTGGTGTCGATCATACCCGCTCTCTCCCACATTTCAACGTGCTCTTTTACTCTTTCCTTCTCCTTCTTCAACTCGTCGTCCCGTGTGTCGTCGGTCGGTCCGTCCAACGCCCATATATCTCGCAGACTCTCGTCCTTCGGCTCCGGATTATGGAGTGAGCCTTGCAGCAAGCTAAGTGCAATAGTCAGTGCTACGGAGCTCGCCAGCATGCCAGCGATACTCATGCTCACAAGGTTCGGCCACAGGAAGTACTCTATGGATGGAACATCTGGAGATGGCGCCGCACCATTTTCCGCTCTCAGAAACTGCTGCGTCCTTGTGACGAAATGGATGCCGGTAAGAAATGCGTACGGAGGGTCCAGGAACACAAGCAGACCATGTGTGATCATGTTCAAACCTGACTCCCCAATTCAGAAGCATTGGCGGCATCCATCGATTTCCATATATCCGCCAAAGCGCAGACAGAGAGAGAACACATACTCAAATTGTTAATGCTCAGCAACAAAGTACAAACAGAAAGAAGACACAAACTCAGATTGCAACTGCGCAGCAACTGTGTACGCAACTTGTGCCTGCAAGGCCAAGAACAGTGAAGCAATGCAAGCATTTTAAAAAATCATGCAATTGAACAATGATCTTGGCACACAACACCGTTGACATCGAAATGGACGGTCGGTCGGGTATACGGCGAGTCCACATAGTATATGGCCCACCCCACATGGTGCCACCCAGTCAATTGGTACCAACCAACCCACGTGGCATCGTGCAGGCTGTATAATACTGTGCAGCCCACATAGCGCCATAGCCATGTCAAGGGTGGAGTTGTGCCCGCATTTGATGCGAAGTGGCACCACAACAGCCTCTTTTCCACCCAGATGAGTAGATAAAAAATTCACACAGTTCCACCGTTAATAAAGATGAGCAAATCCAGCATCCGAACAGTTTGGATTTTGTACTACATAAAGCACACCGTGTGCGTGTTTTAGGCTGTGTAAAAGACTACCMCCYCCYCCCCCCCCYCCCCCCCCCCCCCMSCCMCCCATAAACAACATAGTATCACCTACACCACATGATAATGACCAGCCCAGATATTACCACCTGGCCATGCCAAGGGCCAAGTTGTGTCCAACTTTGGCCATGTGTTTTTTACTTCTATCTCCACCCCCCCCGCCGGTTTGGTGGTTCTGTCATGAGTCAGTCGACATGCATGTCAATGTTTACTAGAGAGTAGTCCATCGTCTGAAATCAGGAGGTGGAGTTCGTTTTTCTTTGTGTGCAGGGCCTGTTTTCTTGTTTTTTGCTTGCCCGCATAGATGGCAGAGGAAAGGGCGCAGGACGACGAGGCACAAACTGGAGGAGGAGAAGTACGTGGTGGAGGAGGGACAGGAGGAGAACACAGCAGAGGGCGAGGAGGCTGAGGAGAGGGATTGGGGAGCATGGCGGCCAGGAGACGGCAACACCAACAGAAAAGAGTTCAAACTTCCAGAACGAAGCCACGAACTGTATATGCTCAAGAAGCAGGCAGTGAAGACTCACCTTCTGTGAAGACAATAACCCAGAAATACGGGATGATGCCAATGATGACGTAGATGATTGACAGCGTGAAGGCCGCACTGCACAAAACACACACACACACACACACACACACACACACACACGCACACACACACACACACACACACACACACGTGTTCAATCAGTTTGGCTCTTCTCGTAAACTAAAAAAACGTTTTTTGCAGTATTTCATACCAGATACATGAGTTTTCGTTTTCTTCCATGGGAGAGAGTCACCATTTCAACGAGTTAGTGCTACGAGCATGACACAAAGTGCCAAATGGGCCTAGATGAATCCTTCAGGGCAAACCTTCGGTGATACCAATCATACCATATAGAATAAATTGAACAGCTGTGGAGCATCGTGATGCGCTGCATTGCGCACGTGCGCCGCACAGCGGAAGGGCATGCGTGCGCACGCACGTGATGCACAACACCCCCTTTAAATGGGATCCCTGAAAAAAAATTTGTGAGGGGTGCAGCGAAGAAAGAAAAAATCTGGGTCGCGCTGACCCCCCAACGCACCCCCCCCCCCAAAAAAAAAAAACAAGAAAAAAACATATAGAATTCATTCTAATTCCCTTCTCGTAACGAACATGACACAAAGATTGGAAAGCACAAGAAGACCAATGGGCCTAGCTCAGTTGTTAACCTGTTAGTAACTTGGTACACCCATCAGCTGTCGAAATACAGACCGAGTTCAAACTCAGATACAACCGGATGAACAGAAAAAATGAATTCTGCACTGCCGGGGGCCTGCAGTTCAATGATACTATCTCGAGGTCGTCACCCTTCTAAGAAAAAAAAAGCAGGCACTAGAATACACGTGACCATGCCACACAGTCCATGACCAGTACACATACGTGGCATTTTCAAATCACCGACAACTATCAGTGCTACACACAAACGTTGATCGGTTGGGAGCCAATGCACACCGTACTGCACACGGTGCGCGCTCAAAGATGTTTTTTTTTTACATTTTGATTTTCAACTTTTCGAAACTGATTGTTGATCGCAATGATCGGTCATGAATCAAAAGGTTCAAACCTTCGGATCAAATGTGCAGGAATGTCACGGAGTGGTCCATTCTCGGGAACAGAAAGAAAAATAAGAAAACAAGGAAAAAGAGAAAGAATTGGGCCTGAAGCCACAGTGGGTGGAACCCCTGAAATGGATTGATCTTGCAGATAGTATGCTTGCCATTACTTCGATAACAAAGTAACAATTAGGCTGAATTAGCTTAAGAGCTAGTGGAAGGTGGGCAGGAGGGTGAAGTGGGGGGGGGGGGGGGGGGGGGGGGGGGGGGGGGGGCGGAGGGGGGGAGAGGTGCGGGCGGAGGCGGGAGGAGGGTGCGGGGGGGGGGGGGGGGGGGGGGGGGGGGGGGGGGGGGTGTTGAAAGAAAGGGACTAAAGACAAAGTGAACTCACCACTGGGAATTGAAGAAGCCAAAGCTCAGAGTGTAGCTCATCAAAACCATCGCTGAACATCCAAACAGAAAAACGGCTGCAAGTGCCGGCAGCGCCCCCTGCATTTTCGATTGGAATCACAAGAAAGCCGTCCACAGCCGATGGCACTCAGGTTAGGTTCAAGAAGGTCAGATCCGTCTCCCACGGCTTGAACTTTTCTTTCTCTGCGGGACTGTCCGCACGGATACTATGTCAGCATTGATCTCAAATTACATGACGATCTCAAGCTCCATGTATAAATAAAGAAGAGCCAGTGCAGCTCTGCCCGCATCGAAAAGGAGACAGCTAGACCCAGTTTCCGGCTTTGACATAAAAAGTAGCAGCACTGAGAGGGGGGCGGGGGGGGGAGGGGGGAGACAAATTATTAAAATTAAAGAATAGAATATCGCAGATTCACGGTTGTATGGCCACATTTTCATTGGCTGATCGGAACACAAAATGACAAGACAATGTCGAACATGACGTGAGTAGACAGTGTTTGCTAATCAAATCAGTCTCTGGCAGGCATTCAATCGCAAAAGGCACATAATGGAAGTAAACAAAGGAACCGATCCCACTATTTTCCGATTGACAGGGGATAAACATGTCCAAGCAATCGACATGGGATCAACAGCAAATGACAGCATCCGACTGATCCTACCATTTTTCCAAATTTTGTTAATTGAAGTGCATTTTCTCAGGGGATAAGAAATATGGGTTTGAAAGGGGCATTGCGTTGAGGAATAGGCAAATCTCGCAGACGATCCTCCCAATAGGGATTGTAATCAGTGTTGTCAAGCGATCTCATGCCCGCAATGGAGGGATGCTTCGAGTTGGTGTTATTATACATTTGACCTAGGTTACCTAGGACGGCCGACCATGGGCCGGCGGGGCAACTCGCCATTGCGTTGAGGAATATGCAAATCTCGCAGACGATCCTCCCAATAGGGAGTGTAATCAGTGTTGTCAAGCGATCTCATGCCCGCAATGGAGGGGTGCTTCAAATTGGTGTTATTATACATTTGACCTAGGTTACCTGGGATGGCCGACCATGGGCCGGCTGAGCAACTCGTCTTGGAAGGTCGCCACTGGTTGGATAAATTCGGGCGACTTAACAGAAAAGGCAAGCCGGTCCATGGCGCCGCATTCAAAAACACACCCTTCTTTTCAGTTGCTGCATTGTGCTAAGGGGCATACTTAAGAGGATAGAAGCAGAACGGGCACGGGAAAGGAGGCAAATAGGGGATCACACCAACTCACATGGATAAAAGGAGGGCGACCAAACACCCATCCCATCAGTATGATAATACCACCGCACAATGCAAACATCACCATGTCCACTACGTAAGTTGAAGCCCAATATGCTGATCCGCGGAGCCCTGACAGATGTAGTATTGGTCTCAACCCCACCTCTTTCTCACAAAGTACCTGAGCACAGTCGTTAAACAATGGAAAGCGAAACCAAACCACAGAAACAAAACTATCAATGCACAATGACTGTGCTGCTTGGCAGTGCATCATTAAAGTTCCAAAGCACACCGCCATGACATGACATAGGGAAAAAAACTACAAGCCCAGAAAACCAAAAAGAGTTTGTGGCCTTCCCAATGCACATTGGATGCCTTACTTGCCGATGCACGATTCAAAGTTTGAAAGCACGCTAGCGGGGCAGAACACAAGTAATCTGTGAAGCGCACATAACCAAAGAAGCCAATAGCCTTCCAATTTTGCCGCGTGCTTATGCGGCCCAGTACACACACCGCGAAACAAACAAGGCGTTGTGAACGCTGCAATCATACATTTGACAACTGTTGAAGAAGAAAAGAACAGGACCCAAACAGTGCACTCAAAGCAGGTCAGAATTGCAGTTCCAGCTTCGCACGACGAGTTTTCGCACGAGCAGCAGGTATGAGCTGGTGCACAAACTGCACAAACACACATCTGGCAATGAGGCTCAGAAGTAAGCCAACAGTCAAAAAACATAGAAAAGTGAAATCAAAACTCCTACTGTCCATTCCTTCGGGACATCCGTTAAAATTGGAGCGGTACAGAGAAGGAAAAAACAACAACAACTCCTACCGTCAACTTTGCATAGTGACTGTGAATCTCAAAGGGCGAATTCGAAGTCGAAGAGTGCCTTGTATGTATAGCACACATGCAAGGCTCAGCGTGCAAGCTGCTGATAGTGGAGCAGACTCCAAACATGAGACTAGTACAACTGTCTTTCCAGTTTGCGAGTGCAAATCAACTATAGGAAGCCCACGTACACCCGATCCAAAAGGCAAAGAGACGGAGAAATCCGAGGTAAATACACAAGCATTATGGAAGAGATCGACGATGGACAACCTCCAGAAATTTTCAACAAAGTCGAACAACCCACAAGTCACGGAAAAGCTGCCACAATGGGAAGCCCTCAGAAACATCCAGCCAATCCAGAAGGCAAGCAACGTTGGAATCCAGGGAACCTGGAAGTGTTATGGAAGTTGGACAATGGAGAAGCCTAAAGAAACAGAATACATATACAGGAGGCAAACAACAGCCACAACTTCCCCTCCTACCTGCGCTGCCAGGATCGGCGCCACCAATATGAGGCCAACAACAACGAGCGCACTGACCAAGTATGCCACCAAGTCATTAACATCCTCCCAAGGAAGAGGACGCCCTCGTGGAGTCAACGTCTTAGTTATCATGTGATCCGCACTGGTAAGATTTGAAGCCAGAAGCTTAAAGAAGGCGTTGTCTATGGTTGCCACGACTCTCGCCAGCTGATGCACATGCCATGGCTGATAAATGACCGTGTAATTGTTCACACACTCTGCACAAACAAATTCCACAGCGTGAGTAAACTCTTGCAAACAAGATAACAATCGACTCAGAAAGCTCTTGATTAAACTCTATTTATGTACCAGCAGTGCACAACCTACAACAGCCTTTTTCTGTATGCCTTTAATGTTTGAATCATCAGCATTCACGAGATTTCCAATGCGGAATGGTTGGTACATGATCCGAAAGTACCCGCTCTTTCTCAGCAACTGAAACACCAAATGCAACATGTTCTTGATAAAGAGACATCCTTTTGCTAGAAGTGCTGATATGGTCGTCTGATGTACTGGTCTGTCAGGGCAGTGTTCTATAGGACTGTGTTAGCTGTATCCCTTGCTAAACCCTAAACCCTAGTGTACATAGTAATCCTTGTAGACCGACTGTGTTTTGTTGGTACGAGGGTTTGAAGGTCCTACGGGTGTCAGAGTGGGGGTCTAAGGGGTCTGCATTTTGAGATGCTTAGTGTAATAGTAGCTGTAGTTAGTTTCGGGATTGGTCTGTGAATGATGGTGTGATTAGAACGGTGGGGTGTGTGTGGTCTATGATTTAGCTGATCACTTTTGTCTGGGTAGTCTAATTCGATTATACTAGTTTCCGTTGTTCACTGGTGGTAGATGGGATAACAAGGAGTTTTGGTGGGTTAGTGATTGGATCATCTGGTTCCTATTGGCACATCCGTTAGATGCGTTCTACTTCCCGGAGTGTTCTGAGGTTGGGTTAGGGGTGTGCGATTGCGTCTCCATTGTCCGAAGTATATTCTATCCTGCACTATCGTGGCTCTTCCCCCAGTATGTTCTTTGAAAAGGATTGTTCTGTATCTTTTTGCAGGTTTTATTCCAGCGTCCCCTATACTCTGTTTCTATCATGTTTAGCACTCCCTCCCATGTCTCATGGTTGCTCACTGAAGTGTGATCAATCGTTTCTTGGCACCTACGCTTCCATATCCCCCATAAGGTAGCTAGTCTCATCACCTGGAATAACACAACCTCATGTCTGTGCCATGAATTAGGCAGCTGTAATCCTAGTAGTAGTGGAAGTTGTTCAGCTAGGTGTGTCTTGTTCGTGATTGTCAGCCAGAGTGTTGCTGTTTGGTTCCAGATCTATTGTGCCTTTTGACAATGTAAGAGGCAATGTTCTATATCCTCTCTCATCTGGTCCGGGCAAATGGAGCATAATTCCTGAAAAGGAGACCATGTTTGGTTGTTCCTTCTCTTATATAGCCATGCATTTACTGGCAAAGCTCGATGAGCCAGGAGCCATTGAAAGCTTCTTAGTTTGGTTGTTGTTATGGAGAGAATATTGTTCCAGGGGTTTAGGGGAGTATTATTTGGCGGTATGATGAGGTGATTTTCCCATCTATGGTTTATTATTTGAGCAGTGGAGATAGACCTTAATCTCAACGTGTATCCTAGTTTCGTGGTATATTCCAGAATGTTAGTGCKCTTTTCTATTCCTAATCTGCYGGATTTCTTTTTCCAGGCCCATTCCGCTGGGTCAATTTCTAATTCTTCTATACTTGTTGTTGGCTTATAGATATGGCGTTTTTCTGTTTCCACGACCCTTACTTTTCTTACCGCTTGCTCTGGTAGGGCTAGTTCTCCTGTAGGGGTTTGGGTTAGTAGGCTGGTAGTTGTCCCTGGTTCTTCTATTTGATACATATCGCAGATGAGCCAAGCTGCTCCTGGTCCTTCTCTTTTGCGGATTTGGCCTGATACAAATTCGCCATAAACCAAGACAGAAGTAGCAGAAAAAGGACAGTGTGAAGTAGGGTTTAGGGTCTAAGAGACAAAGAGGGGAAACAGGACTACACAGTGTAAGGTAGGATTTACGGTTTAACAGACATAGAGGGCAAAAGGAGAGGCAGTAATAGAAAAGGTTATACAGCAAAAGAGACAGCAAAAGGCGTACAAGTGTACCAGAAGGCTCTCGTATAATCATAGATATCCGACAGCATTACGACTGAGAGGAGCAGATCTGGGATCACACAGATTGAGGGGCCGAATATATGCAGGCTAGATTAGGCAGAGGTGAGAGGTGGTACATCCTTCTTCATGGAAGTAATCAATGCCGCCTGCTCAGGCCTCTCAACCATAATGGGGAGGAGCGTGTGTGAGTTATTTTATGTACTCCATATTGACTTGCCGGGGGAATAGGAACCGGACTGTTGCTCCCCAGAATGGCAGGAGCCAGAACCTGAGGTTCTGTTTTTTGTAAAAAAAAAAAAAAAAAAAAAAAGAGACATCCTTTTGCTGCCACCAGTTTGTCATTCCTGATGCCCATTTAATTGCCAAGAAACTCACCCATCCCTGAGGTCTGCGAACAATCTTAGCCATGACAGTTGTTGACAGGGGAACTTGACATGCACTTCCAGAAATTTAGGAAAAGGGACAAGCCCCCATTCATGTAAGGAAGGCAGAAGCTTCTCTGAAGGGCATGAAGAGGGCCCATCAAAGAAGCACGCACACACACACACACACAGAGAGAGAGAGAGAGAGAGAGAGAGAGAGAGAGAGAGAGAGAGAGAGAGAGAGAGAGAGAGAGAGGGGGGGGGGGGGGGGGGGGGGGGGTCATCTGCTGACTTTGTTCCAAGGGATACTGAGTGGATCCAGCTTGGTTCTTTGCTGCTGCTTTTTAAATGTTCATGGTGGGAATAATACCCAACATTGCTATGGTGGCAAAATACCCGAAATGACTTGGTCGGACTACCCGAAATCACTATCGTGAGATCCCTTCAAATGGCTGCGAATTTTCCAAATTTGCTATACAGCAAACACCTCACAATGTCCAAATGATGAATACCATACGTCTGGGTTACACATATGTGCCTCATTACTCACCTGCCACCCTCACATCGTTAAACACGATACCCACTGGTGCTCTTGGCCCTCCTATTGCCCAAAAGTACCCTTCATCTCCAGAGAATCTGTTTGCCAAGGTCAGCCGGGACATGCTCTCATGGTTCGACCCAAGAGTGTCAAGAAGTTGCCTTGCATCAGCAGACTGTAATGGTTGTTCCACAGAGTAGAAGAGTGGAACTTTGCTCCCAAGACTGCTATCCAGAAGGTCAACAGTACTCGGCCTTGGGACTCGGAAACCAGCATGGATGAGAAATCCAATCAGGGCAAAAACCTGTGGACGCAATTCACATATTCATACACAAATCAAGGACAATTCAGCGCAGAACAGAACTATCGCAGTTACAATGGAAGGAGTTCATAAAACCAACAACTACACATTGAGTACAGAAAGAGGAAGTGCAACCAAGATGACAAGAACAACAGCAACTTAGAACGATGTGGGCATCGCTCTCTGATGAGCACATGCTGATTATCGTATTGATCTCACCTCACCTTTCAAGCTTATGCACCTCGCACGATCCAATTATTTTCCTCCTAATACTTCCCACATTAGTCAGTCATTTAATAATCGAATGAAATCATAGTGACATATCTCCAATAAATGAAATCAAGGTGACCTACCACCACTTCATTCATTATGAAATCAAGTCCATGACATAAACTGATTGGAGGCCTGATCAATTAGACAAGCTACTATGGCGTTTGGCTGAACTGATATACTTGTATGCCACTCAGAGCGGTCAAGAACAACATTACTTCACCGTGGATGTTATCATTAATCAAAACTACTTAACGGCAGCTAATGCCAATTTTTTTTGGCTAAAGGATTAAAATTTTAAAATTTTAAACTTGACCAGCCAGACACTTGGCATGACATACAACGCACGAGAAGAATCCATAGGTCACTGCCCACCCTCACATGACACTTCTACTTCACATTAACGACTTACGGGGAGAAGACTTCTGATTGCTAAAGTGGTAGATGGCTCCCAAAAAGAAGCCCTGGGAAGATCCTTTTAGACATCTGTTAAAAGCTACCAACCATACTTGCAAGCAGACGGACCCGGACCGGGCCATTTCTTTTTTTGGGGGTGGGGTGGGGCGTAAGTGGTCGTCGGGCGCACATTCGTGCGCCGCGCGGGTCCGGTCCGGCGGTCTGCCGCGCGTGCGGAACCGCCCGGACGGCGTCCACTTGCAAGTATGCTACCAACTTACGATTGAATTGATGGCGAGACGATTAGCATGACCCCTGCACAATGATGACACACAACTTGAGAAATGGAGCAAAAAGCTGTGGACGAAAACTGTTGGAGACTGAACAGCATGGTGAACCTTGCCACAAAACACATTCTACATTAGATTAGAATTAACCTGGCTTTGCAGAGGCCAAAATGGCCTAGTTCAGTTGGTTTCGCAAGCAAGTGGCATTCAGAGAGGCCGTGGGCTCAATCTCAGTGGCCGCCTGCTATGTGCACGGTGTTCATCAGCTGAGATAGTTGGCTTGGACCCCCTAGTTGGTCTTGGTAGGGTCCTGGGTCCACTTAGAGGCCCTCGGCCCTGCCATTCCTCACCAGGGGTTAGTGCTCAGGCTTAGCCTATCCCCTCTGGGCTCAGGCTGTTCCTTCCAGTCCATAGATCTCGGTTGCTCCAGCATAGATAGGTAGGTAGTGGGATACCGAGTGAAGATTCTGAAGAATAAAAGTTTAGTTAAGGGGGGGGGGGGAGAAACACTTGACTTTGCAGAATACAGAAATGCAAGGGCGAGGAAAACATAGGTCTATGCCAGGCTTGATTGCTTACCACAGCAATGCCGAATGTGTTGAAAACCACCCCGCAGTTCCTCCTGCATCATACATTGAGAAAACAAACACAGCAGAGTTAAAATCATTCCTCACACTGTTTTGCACTTAAGAGCCACACATTGTAAGTCAAGAGATAGCACAGCTTTTCCAAGATGCACTCAGATGACAGGAAAAAGGATGTAACACCCTGCAATAGCACCTGCAACCCAGGCTGTTCACCCAGACGCACGGGCCGTGCAAACCCGCCCGGAAGGCTGCCCAGCCATGCAGGCTGCCTGGTCTAGATGCTGAGGCGTCCTTTGTGCAATTTGCATCTGCGCTTTTTCATACTCCATGGCCAGCCCAGTCGACTCAGCATGGTCCACGGACCTGTGATATGTCTCCTGAAAAAATCCACGAGCCAATGAAAAAGAAGAGTGCACAGGGGACTTTTCCATCTCCCCCATCGGCCACGACCACACAAGAACCGCCTCTCCCTCCTCATCCTCCCCTACCATTCCTGCTCCTATTTCTCCTTATCTCTCCCCTGCTGATCAACGGGGAGAGAGAGAGAGAGAGAGAGAGAGAGAGAGAGAGAGAGAGAGAGAGAGAGAGAGAGAGAGAGAGAGAGAGNAGAGAGAGAGAGAGAGAGAGAGAGAGAGAGAGAGAGAGAGAGAGAGAGAGAGAGAGAGAGAGAGAGAGAGAGAGAGATGGGGTGTGGAAAGCAGGGAAGGCTCCACTTCCACGGGGTGATGACCTGCACGTTGCCACGTGACAGATGCATCTGCACGGGGACGCCAGAATGGAGGTACAACACGGTGCAGTGCTCACAGGAGACGGCGTGTCGGAACAGTATGCAGGCCATTGGCAGACTGGTCCTTGGACATGGCATTAATCAACGGTCCAGATTCCAGCACACTTCATCCAAGACCAAGGAGCAGAAGCAGGGGGAGGTGGACGAGGGAGGAGGAGAAGAAGGAACCGCTGCTGCAATTCTGTTTAGCGTCAATACAGATGAATTTGTGGCCTTTGATCTGCGGTGGGGGATGAGGAGCCATCAATCTGCGATGCAAGATAAGAACGATCTGCCGCAGCAGTTTCAGCAGCCGGAGGAGGAAGATTGGCAGGGGAGGAGTACAAGGAGTAGGAGAGGGGTGACAAAGAGGGGGATGCAGTGTTGATACCATACAATAGCAGCATTCTCCCCTTTCCTTCAAAGAGTAGTGATAAGGTCATTGCAGCGGCTGCATGAAAAGGATGCCACCGATTAAGCCGAAATGCATTCACAGTCGAGGAGACCGGGCATAAACGCAACAAAGGAAATTCATGAGGGTTGGGTTGAATCAGGACTGACCTGTAGACTCTCAATTTCATAGGCACTAACGCTGTGGTTTGCTTCAGGAATGATGGGTGTGGCCTTTTATCAGCTACAAAATCATCACGCACACCCAGCAGCTGTTCCCCTTCACCATGGTCCATGTTGAAATATCCAGGTGTACCAGACCAATCACCCAAACGATTTCCACCATATGTGAGGGCCAAACTCCCCGCTTCTTCCTCTTCCTCATCTGCACCCAAACAGTGATCACCATCGTAGTTAACAGCATTGTGCTTACTCATTACCACTACATGTTATATTTCGTAAAAGACTTGGAAAACAATTTGAAATCGACAAGCCACACAATCCTCCACAGAACCGATCCTCTTCTCTTGTTCCGATCTCTGTCTTGATTTTGGCATCCTCACACTCAAGTATACTCACACTAGGCCCATGTAGTCGCGGAATCGCAACACCAGCAGCCAGATGAAGCACTTTCAGAAGGACTCGATTTGGCTGCTGATTTTGCGATTCTGCGATTATAAGGGCCTAGTGCGAGAATGGCCTCACTGCCGCCTCAGACTTTCCAAGGACATGGACAGAGAATGAGAACACTGCAGAAAGAACACATACTCGCACCATACGTGTGGCACACCCGTGAAGCGGTCCAATATGTTCTGTGCTACGCCGACAAAATAGTGTGGCGGCAGACCATAAATATGGAACATATAAAAAAGTTCCAAATGGGCAACTTAACATGTCATTTAAGAAGATTTAGAAACCTGTACTCCCAGAAAAAGAGTTGCCGGAAACTCGAAGCAATATTTTTACGCCACAATGACCACATACATTTCTTCTCAGAATTTCAAATGTGCTGATAAATTATTTTCCCATTTTCTAATGCACAAACACCAGACACAGGAAAGTCTGTGCACTGCATGTTCGCACTTGGCATGTGTCATGCGCTGAAAGTTTGACATGCACTTTCAGACCCGGACAAATGCTGGAGTGGAGGTGGAGAAGCTCCCATGAACTCGCACATGAGCTCGCATTTCTTTTAAACATATGGCACGGTGGGGCATAGCGGTACACTGCGTGAAGGACCGAGCCCTGGGATTTGCATCTGCTACTGAAAAGGCGAAAACCGTTTCAGGACTGCCAAGTTGTCTTTCACTCCCCTCCGGTCACTCGATTGGAATCAGCTTTTTTTTTTCTATTTTAAACTAAGCTATATTCTTCTCTCAATATACCTCCCACTACCTACTTAACTAGGCATGATACACATCTTGGTGTACCCTCCAGTGGCAAACTACACTAAGGGTTATGGGTTGAGCCTATCCCCGCAGGGGTGTACCTAACCCCTGGCAACGGGCGGCATTCCCCACCAACCAACCAGGAGGGACAAGCAGCCCAGCTTAGTTGGTAGAGCACGAAAGTGGCATTCAAGAGGTTGTGGGTTTGATTCCCCATAGTCCCCAAATTGAGCCCCCACACCTCCTGAGGCGCGCTGCACATTCACTAGCTGAGATGGTCTGGAATCACCTTTTTCTCTTATTCTTTGTTTCATCTTCATTTATCGGAGATCTCACTATCTTTACAGTGTCCGTCTTCATTTATTAGAGAGCCCACCCTCTTTACAGTCTGTTGATTTGTTTCATTCTACTACATCTCCTCTCCGGTCCCCGGACAATCACCTCTTCTTTCACATCCTTTCAGAATCGTTTTGATGGTGGGTGAGATCCTGGGAGTATCCCAGGAGTATTCGGACGAGCAGCTTCCCCCCCCCACACAAGTCACCCTCATCATATGAGTGTATAGGAACAGATGGATAGCTTGTATCCATTCATGATGAGGGTGTGTTATGTGCACAGGGGAAGAGCATAGGTATCGTGACTGAATGATACTGGGAGTCATTATGATAGAACTCATCTTTCCTGCTGCTTTTAGTCCTTCAGCCCGGTAGAAGACCACCTGACGAGGTGTCCTTTCCTAGACCTCACCTCACCCGTGTACATTACCCCTGTATGTTTGAACCTGGGACCTGCGTTTTAGGAGTGAGTTGTTGTCTGCCGTAGGTCGATGTAGCTGTCGGGTCTTGAACCATAGGTCTGTTGAGTAGGGATCATAGTCGTGTAGAGGTCGTAGCTGCTACAGTCCTGGAAGGTCAAGGTCGTAGCTGCTACAGTTCCAAAGGCCAAGTCAGCAGGCTTCCAGAAGGTCCGGAAGTGGCCTTTCGAACATTGCTCACAGTAGACCAGAGGCAAGTGGGCAAGTGGTGAGTCCAACCTTGCTTAGTCAGCAGTGCCCAGTCCCAGTCTCACTTAGTCCAGTCAGCAAGTACCATGTGGGACTGTGTGCACCAAGGGCCCAGTGGAAAGGGGGCAGAGCAGCGACCAACAGAAGTATAAATCAAGAGGCAGCGTCCAGCCACTCATTCATTTCTGCGTGAGCCATGCGGAAGCGCCGCCTAGGCGACTTGTGCGAGGTGCTCTGCAGATGCCCGAAGTCGAAGCGGGCTCAGGAAGAAGATAAGAGTGTCCATAGTCGGTAGTAGTGAGCGGCCATAGCCGCCATAGGTTAGTGCTTCAGTGAGTGAGTGAGTGAGTGTGTGTGAGGTACAGAGTGAGTGCGTGTGGGATATCCAGGGAGATCCGGAGTTAGGTGCGTGCAAACAGTTGATGTGTGAAGTGAAGGCGCTCAGTCGCCATAGCCAATCTGAAGCAAGTCTGTATCTGAATCGCGTGGGCGGCGCCCAGCGCCAGTGCGATTTGCTATTTGTTTGCATGCATGCAAAGTGCATGGGTCCTGGGGACCATCTCACGCAGATGTGTACATGTCACGCATCATCTTCACATGCAATGATCAATAGTCTCAACCATAGACAAAGGTAGAGAAGAAGAGGACCGAGTTTCACAGCTTATATTATCAGAAATATGATTACAAAGTGTTTCAAAGTTCCCCTGAGTCCAGCGCTCATCAGCGCAACACAAATCTCTATTCAACTCATCAATATGACTTCAAAGGCATCAGCGCTACCCCTGCAGATTGTCTCCCAGTCATCAATATGGTCACAACTCATCAGCGCCGACTCTGCAGTTCACAACCAACTCAGGTAAGTGTCTCTCATAGCCAAACCTTGAATGAACACTCTATATTTCAGTCCCTTCCTCTTACGATGCATACACATTCTCTACTCGTGAGGATCTACTCTGAATACTACTCGTAGCTACATACTAACCCTCTACTACTAATGCTAACTCGCTGGGCAGATATGGCTGCATCACTTCCAGCGTACAGGCTTCTTCCTCCCTCCTTCAGCGCATCTTCTACCTCCAGCGCTGCTCCTCCTGACTCAGCGCACAAGTGCACCAGCACTTCCACGCATTGCAGCCAGTGGAGATCTGGCGAGGAATGAGGCAGGCAGCTCCCTTTATAGTGCTGGCCACTCCTCGCTGGGTCTGCATTGGCTCAATTCGGCCTTTCCTTTGTCCCAGACCCTGCATTGCATGTGTCCCAGTAGAGTCCCAATGAAGTTCAATTGCTGCTGAGGCCTCTCGGCCTGTATTTGGACTTGAAAGTCTGGATCTGGATTGACCCCTTGACTTAGACCAGAACTGGGACTGTGCCTATTGACTTTACTTTCGGACAGGCACAACTCTCATCGAACAGACACATTTACTGCTTGAACAGACACTTTCCTTTGCACGAACAGGTACATTGCCTGCACGTACAGTCACACTCTTACCCGAACAGCCATGACATACACATCTCCTGGTGAACAGGTAAGTCCTTTGACAATACCCTTTGCCTTAGATTTAGATGTGCCTGTTGACAGAGAACTTGACCTTTGACCTGCTTTCACGTTTTTGAACCCTGGGGATACCTTTTCACAATGCTTTACTTTTACAAGGCCTGTGCTGCATTACTTTGGCAAGGCCTGAGGCCTATAGCGGGTAAAGGCCCTTTTACTCTCACCGGCCTAAATTCGAAGTCCTCTGAGAATCATTTACCTANGCTGGCCACTCCTCGCTGGGTCTGCATTGGCTCAATTCGGCCTTTCCTTTGTCCCAGACCCTGCATTGCATGTGTCCCAGTAGAGTCCCAATGAAATTCAATTGCTGCTGAGGCCTCTCGGCCTGTATTTGGACTTGAAAGTCTGGATCTGGACTGACCCCTTGACTTAGACCAGAACTGGGACTGTGCCTATTGACTTTACTTTCGGACAGGCACAACTCTCAATGAACAGACACATTTACTGCTTGAACAGACACTTCCCTTTGCACGAACAGGTATACTTCCTGCACGTACAGTCACACTCTTACCCGAACAGACATGACATACACATCTCCTGGTGAACAGGTAAGTCCTTTGACAATGCCCTTTGTCTTAGATTTAGAGGTGTCTATTGATAGAGAACTTGACCTTTGACCTGCTTTCACCTTTCTGAGCCCTGGCGAGATACCTTTTCACAATGCTTTACTTTTACAAGGCCCGTGCTGCTTTACTTTTACAAGGCCTGAGGCCTACATCGGGTAAAGGCCCTTTTAAAAGTGAGAAGAAGAAGAGTCTGATTTCAGTCCTCAGGGATACCCGTTAAAATTGCAACTGTACAGAGCAGATTAGCATGGCCCCTGTGCAAGGATGACACACATAAATCAATAATAATGGTCCAAACGTTTGTGGGAAAAAAAGGGGGCACTCACATATATTTGATAAGGAATGCTTCATTGGTAAGACATCGCTGACGATTCCCACATCATCACAGGATGAGGGTTGAGACAACCAATGAGTGCAGAATGGATGGCATGTAAGAACCAGCTACAAGGACAGAAAATAAGCGAGAAACTCGAGACAAGCACGGGTAAGGGAGACAAGTCTGTACCTAGAACTCGCTAGGACAGAGTTGGGAATATGAGAAGCTATTATGCAACTAAAACACAGTGCTACACCGCAAGTCAATAGAGTGAGGAATGCTAAATGAGCGCAGCAACATCAACAACAACAACAACAACCAAAAAAAAAAAACAAAAAAAAACAACGCAAACAGAATGTGGTGTTAGTCAGCCACTATAGCCAAGGTTGTGAACTGTACACACGAGGGGTGATGTGAGGGATGGGCATTTAGATAGTTGGTCTAGGCTGTTTTCCCGGGCGCCCGGGCACCCAACTTCTGCCCGGGTACACGCCCGGGTGCCCGGCCGGGCATGACCCCCGGGCAGGGTTCCGGGCAGCCCCAGCGCCGAAAAAAAAAAAAAAAAACTCAAAAAATTCCGCAAAAAAAATATGTTGTGTAGGATTGAAATGCAAACCACTTTTGGCTGAGGGTCACATTATAATTCCTCACCGAATCGGAGATAAAAAAGAAAATAACAGAATCAC